CTGATTTCTTTAGATTTCCCATGTTGTCACAACAAAGAAGCAGTGTGTTTGAGGTGTGCCTTACAGCAGGGGTTCTTAACCTCTCTGCTGCCAAGACCCCCCTGTGTCCAATGAAAACTGGCAGCACAGTAAACATATATGGTTCCCTCTTCCCTGCATGTTCATGGGGGTTTAAATCCCAGTGATATTTGTCCAGTTAGTCAGCTGACATTTCATGTGACCAGACAATGACGACTTTACTAAATATTAAGGTTGGCCTTTCTCCTATGTCCTAAGTCTTATCTCAAATTCCAGCTGGATGCCCTTGTCTTCATACATAACAAGGCCCAGACTTGCAAGTTGCCAGTCCATTCTTCCTTACTTTTGTGTTGCTGAGGTGAAGCACAGTCAATGGATAAAATTTCAGATTTTTAAAAATGAGCATCAGCGATTGTGGGCATGGTGAAGCAGTGAAATTCACTAAAACATAATTCTTTTTAATTTGATTAATTATATTCAAGCATATTGTTTATGATGACACAGGACAAGCCTGTTATTTATTTTGCTTTGGGTTATCCATTTTTGTGCACACAAATGTTCCACAACAATTCCACTCGTCACTATTTTTAGGGAACATTGAAGCTGCCTCCTTTGCTTAGCCCCGCGTACAACAACTGTGGTTTGTTAAAGAAATGCAAACAAGCCAAAGCCTTTTCATTCCTCTGCAGCACCATGATGAGGTTGTGCAGCTAGACCATTATGCTTTGGTTAAGCAGCACCATGCCTTCGCTCAGCATTTATTTGTGGATAGTGTCTTGGAAGTTATGAATCCTTATGAGACTGTTCTAACTCCATATAATTTATTCACTGCTGTAAATGTCTCTTTGTCCTTTCCAGAAAGTGACCCATGACATGGACATGTGTTATGGGATGATGGGAAGTTTGTTTCGCAGTGGATCACGACAGACACTGTTTGCCTCTCAAGTGATGCGCTACGCGGACCTGTATGCTGCCTCTTTCATAAACTTGCTTTACTACCCCTTCAGCTACCTTTTCCGAGCTGCCCATGTCCTGGTAAGACTCTCTCATAGTTCTTATTCCCAGCATCATAACACCATCTTATTTCGAAAATACATGTTGCCACCTGTGATTTCTGTACTTGATAAGTCTTTAGACAGATTCTTATGAACATGATAAATAAAAAATTAGACTAAGTCAAAATTTAATGCCAACACCACAGGAATTTCATGTTAAGTAGATGATCTGATTGGACTTTGGGTTACCTCTGTGCATACATTTGCATATTAATGTTTGAACATGAACAAACTGATATTATACATACAGCATCCAAAGACCAACTACATGAAAAAATCTGTTCCCATCCTACTCAGCACACATGAACTCAAACAGTGCATGGCAGAACCTTGGTACTTCCACCTCGGGGTTGGAATCATTGAAGCGTTTGATTCAGTTCCGATTCAGAATTGATTCTCAAATTTTAAAAACATGTATTTTTTGTCTCTCCATTAAAGTTGGTTGAAGTTTTGTAGCATTGTGTGGCTGCCCTAGGTGTTGATTATTTGGTTTTGTTTGTTAGCTGTGAAACTTGGTGCTCCACAGAGTAGGTTGTAGGTCAGTCGGTGATGAGTGTAAAATACCAAAAAAATCTTCCCAGCATTTATTGATGCTTTCGTTTTTTTCAAAATGAACTATAAGATACCTCTAGTATGTGTACACTGTTCTCTATCTGGGCAGTTTCCATCAACATTATTAAGTTAAAAACTGCATTTTTTTACTACGAGTACTGTGGGCATGCATGTTTTGTCAAGACAGTCATTGTGGGACATCAGGCATTTGCTCATTTCTGGCACTGTTAAAATTGATCCCTGCCAGATGCCTCATGAGTCAACAGTGGAACACACACATGTCAACGTCATCGACACAGAGTCACCATTGGCCACACGAAATCGCCATGACGTCGACCTTAGGGAGATGGAATGTAAACGTCATCAGCTGACCCGATCCATCAGCGAGATCCAGCCTCCCCACTTCTTCCCTCAGGCTCCACAGGAGATAACCCACTGCCATGATGAAGATGATGACGAGGAGGAGGAGGAGGAGGAGGAGGAAGAATAGGAGGAAGAGTAGAAGACAGTAGTTGAGCCTCTCTTTCAAATCCAGTACATCCATTTTGAATGTTTTAGGTTGTTTTTTCTTTATTTAATAGCTACAGGACTGTATTAGCAGAGGCTGGTGATCAGAGCCACGTGCACACCAGCTGATAGGTTCGAACAATTAGAAGAGCAGTTACAGGTCGTACACTTTCTACCTGGTCTTGTACATGCTATGGCCTACTGTATCTAAAAGTGGTCTCGCTACATCAAAAGGTAGAGGTGAGTTATAAGGAGAGTTTAGATTTATATCTATAAGTAGTACAAGATTTAGGCAGCAAGATAGTGAGCTGACAAGTCCTGTATGCAGAGTGTAGGAGATAAAATATCTTTTTTCTTTGGGCATCACCAACACGTTTATCAGGAGATGCGTCATGTATGCATCCTTTCATTCGTACTGTTCACTGCCCTGCCACCCAGTGTTGCACCAAAGCTCTCACTTTACAACATGCATAACAATTAGGTGAAATGTTAACCTTACCCCAAAGACACAATCCAACCTAAAACTCCATAATACCACAACGCTGCTGAAACAGCCTCATTAGTCACAGACATTGGATGTGAAAAAAAGCAATATGGTCCCAAAAATCCAGAGAATAATGGCCAAATGTAGAGATGTGATGGTATAATTCAACAGAAGATATTGTTAGAGGTTTCTAAACTAAATCTAAAATGTCTGGTGTGAGATGTATGTTCCTTCACACAAACTTCCATCCGTATTTGTTTTTTTCTTTAAAGGAGTTTTAGACACTGTACAAACTAAACACCCACACATCTAAGTGTGGATTTCTACTTGAAATAAGTCAAACCGTAGTTTGTGTATTGAACAGCTCCTATCAAACTAGCTTTAGTCCTTGAACAGTGCTACTTCAGGTGAGGGATTTTTGTTAAGCTGAGAGCTTGTAGGGTCTGCTGTGGTGGTCAGGCGACGGTGCCAAAATCATATCCCTCGCTCACAATTCAAGCACAATATTCACCCATATACTTGCCCTGTAGTTGTACACACTGTAATGCACAACCACACTTCCCACGTCCCACAGGATTAATTAACCCTCAGGGACACGGTTACAACCTTAAGTCCTTATTTTCATGTCGTCTTGTTACATTATGTTTGTAAAAATTCTGCCTCAGAAAAAGTGGCATTGTAAACATGTAATAATGTTTAGGTGTTACAGCCTGCTAATGGTCACAATCACAAAGGAATGTGAAGTGGCTTTATTCATCTTGCTTTGAGCTGATATTGTCATTATTTTAAAACTTCTGTAAATTTAATGGGGAAAAAAACTGTAAAACTTCGACTGTTTTTTACATTTTGACCATAATTTTGACCACATCAAAATGGTGTTTTGATTACTGTCTGTTCTCATTTTGTAAATACTGTCACATGACTTTAGTTAAGGCCAGTGTTGGACAGCCAACCTGTCCAGAGTGTACTCTGTCTTGTGCCCTATGTGAAGTGGAGAATTTGGGCTTATTGGGATATTTTCATTTGAAGCACCTGGGGCATTTGTCCTGGCGTCTTCCACAGACAGGTGAACATGCTGCTTCTCTGTCACTGCTCTGATCAGGTCTGTGACCATTGTGCCTGATGTCATATGAAATGTGGGCTGCGCTGTGACTGTCAGTGTCGGCACTAATGTTGTTACAGACAGTGTCAGCATGAGGAGGGAGTAATAGTGTGTATTTGTATATTTTAGTGCTTTTGTTTGATTGTCATTGAAAATGTGTGAGATTTACAGTTTTGTTTTGTTTTTTTTTACTGAGTGTGCTTTTGCTGCGAGGGTTGCAACCTCACACAGTTACTCATAGAACTAGCTGAAGCTGCTTTGTCCTAATTGGGCTAAAAAGACCTATTTTTACTGTCTGTGTTGTAGTTTAGAACTTGTCTAAGTTTCCTGCTGTCTTGCGGTCTGAGCTCAAATAGGTGGGAGTTTTTGTTAGTGTAGGAGCACTAGTTCCTCTGCTGCTATTGAACGGTTTCAGAATAGGAAATGCTTCAGGGTGGATGCTCCTAAAGCGAGCACTGCCAATGGTTTTAAATTTTCAGTTTTCATATTGTTGTCTCATTTTAAAAGTATAGAGCATGCCTCTTCTGATCAGAGTAATTTGATGTTAGCTGTTTTGAAAGCTTGCATAGACTTTGATAATCAGACATACTCAAATATGAAGTGAACCAAATAAATGTATTTAATTGTACCATCAATGGTTGATGCTTATATTGATGTTGCTTTTTTCTTTATTTCAAATGCTGCCTTGGTTTCGAAGAATGTTGAAAAGCAGCATTACAACAGATACGTTGGTTTGAATCATGACTGATGTTTGTTAAACATCTCCTGGTCTGATATTGTGTCTGAGTTTTGATTTTTCACTCAAACGTACACATTGGTCATTCCATTCAGTCAGTCAGTTCCTCACACAGATGCCTCAGAATAATCTCATTTCCTTCTACAATAGCTTCAGTATATTGAATGAACTGACTTCTAGGAATATTTTCCAAGTCACAACCCTTAAGGACAGGATGTGTTGATGTGATTTTGCCCTTTTTAAATTTGTGTACTTTTTCCAGAATTTTTGAGCTCTCCTACCTTCATAAGCACAGGAGATGTCCACATGACATTTTCAGGGATGTCATGTCATGTTGCTCGTCATCAGTATGGGGTGTAAGTCAAACACCTTCGGACATGTTGTGTACATGTATAGTACTCAGTCATTTAGAACACTTCTTCCCTTCCCCTCCCGCTGAATACATCAGTAAAAATTAGGATGTGATTGCTCTTGACTACCATAAAAGTTTAGGAACATATTTTTTAAAAATAACCAATAAACTGCAGCATGCTCAAACCATGCTAACATCAGCCTACAATATTTCAACAAGGCAGGTAACACTAGCTGTCTACACTGATGCTCAAATCCTGGTGTAGCTGAAGTAGTTAATGTGTGAAATTTTAACAATAGCAATATGTACTGTGTTGTAATTATACAACAAAAGCAGAAAAAGTCAAGAGGCCACTTAATACTAAGAGGAGAGAATAAAACTTCCAGGATTACGTGACCAAAGTCCTTCTGTACATTGTATATTGTACATAACAACATGTTCTGCAATTTAAATGTCACCACTTTGGTCATAATCTGGCTTTCAGATTTACTTTGCAGCACTTCAAACAATTAAACTTTAATAGCACTTCTCATACAAAAGCTACACAAAGTGCTTTATAGTATTTAAAACCATTGCAAAGGTATTACAACATGTGTTACAACAAGTTATTGAGTTTTAGAAATCACGTCCGCACACACATTCTGTGGTAACACCACGTTAACAGTGTTTAGATTTTTTTTTAATTTATTTATTTTTCACCAGTTTTCAGAGACACAGCAGCTATTCAATACGACTGATAATGTAGAGCGTTAATGTTTTTTTTGTTGTTGCTGTTTGTTTTAAACGTGTCCGTCCAGCATCATAGCAAGCAGAACGATGATCTGGCTGCTGTGTTGTGCCGAACAAATTTGCTTTGCCAAGGGGAGCTTTATGAATACAAGGCCTCTCTTGATAGTCTGATTTTTATTTATTTATGTATTCATTCTATTTTATTTCTTTCATTTATGTTGAATGCTTGCTTATGACTGAATTTAATGCAATACTGCTGGACCTGATAGAGAGAAAAGGAAAAGTGTGCAGTTTACACAAGTGAGAAGGAGAATGAAAGGAAAATAGCAGAAAACAAAGATACCACAATCTACCAACTGCTACACCTGGACAAACACACAACAGAAAACATCTTATGGCTTTTGCAGGAAAACAGAGCTGATAATCTTCAAGAACACCTGTAAAAGATGAGCAAGCTGAGAAAACCTGAATCTCGACGCTTACCAGAGCACAAGATTCACATATGCACACAAAAATGAGGGAGGGAAAAGAAAAAAAACAAAAACAAACAACATATGTCAGAAGAAATAAATAATGTAAACAAAGCAAACAAAAGCAGGTGTTAGTGCGGACAATGCAGTGTCATCTTACAGAATATGAGGAGTGAAGAGTGTTCAAACATGAGTGCGACTGTGCAAATGCAACAGAGCCCCTGCGAAGGCCAGATGCAGACCAGGAGAGACCCAAGGCCCGAGCCATCAGCAGTAATCCCGGAGAATGAATCTCAGCCACCACACCACTGAGGCGAACACGCATCCCCCCAGACGGGGGCATAGAAAGGCCTCAGCCAGAGCCCCCACGGCCGCGGGGCAGAGGCTCCAGCGGACCAAGACCAACAGCCACCCAGGCCAGGCCAAGCACAGGGTCCAGGACCACACAAGCCCAACAACAATGAATATATTTACATAGCAACTCACCTTTTAAAGACGAGTTTGACAAAGCAACTGAACAAATTTAGTGTAGTAATAAAATCATTTAAATTCAAACAAATAACACCAAATGGGTCCTATCTGACCAAATTCCAAGTGTAAGTCAACCTGTTCCTTGTGTGATATTATGAAATGCTGCAGAAAAGCTACCAGACAGACGGCTGTTTGTGTGTTTTGCTGTTTCAACAGACAAGAACTTCTGACATCTGACACTTTGTAAGAATTCTGAGGAGCGTCATACAGACAGTTGCTCTTCAGAGTGTTCTAAAGACACAGGGAAGAGTAAAATTAGAATTATTTTGTATTTTACAAACAACACTAGCTTTAATTCACTGATAACAGTAATGAACTGTATGGTATATAATATGCTGATTGCAGTAAAACTGGATTAAAAATGCCGCATCAGCAGCAGCAAACTGTGAAAAGAGTCTGATTGGCACGTGCAGCAAGAGCTAATAAAACTCAAGCAAGTCCAGTTGCTACGATTAAACTGAGAATAACCATGACCTGGATGACTGAGAATCTTCACAGACACGTAACAAAACTCAGCAGAGTGGACTCAAGGATGCTGTCAGGGTCAAGCAGCTGTTTGTCCTTTAAACGGCTGATGATAAGTATTATCCTTTTGCCTCGACTTATGAGCTCGGGCTGATAATGAACCAATAAAGACTCACAGTCACAGTTATATGCTTTCTACAACTTTTCTGTTTTCTAGCAGCAGTCAGACAGGATTCTAGAGTTGCTATCTGTATCAATGTCTTTCTCCCTTTATTTACAATCAATAAATGAATACATTTTAAAATCAGATCTCCTGCAGCCCTGTAGGTAGAGAATCATTTCATTATCACTTTGCACATTGCTGACATATCTCTTCAAATTAAAATGGTTACAAAACAAGAAGGTACACTTGGATCCAAGCACTTCGTGCACCATGAAGCCGGAGGCACACCTGCACAGGTTGACCTGGGAGGCTGATGTCTTCAGCAGGGGGCGTAACATTGGCTCGCAGATCTTTTCCATGCTTGAACTGTAAGCTCTATGTGCTGTGTCTCTGCCTTCACATCACAATTACTAATCATACATCTTATTCAAGCATGGTGAACTTTATTTCATTACTGTTTTCTCAAAATCTTCAAAAGAAAAAAACGAGTATACACACAAACCATACTTGGACTTTTCAATATACAAATCCAACCAAAGTACATAAGAAAGACTTTTGTTCAGCTAGGAAACAAAATCTTAACTTTACCAGTCACTGTAGAATCTCAAACAGTGCACTGAAATTGTTATGTTTTAGTAAACTTGGTATGACTTTGCTTAATTCTTACACTACTCTTATATATTTGATCATCCTCTCACCACTCGTGCTGTTACGTGGTGTTGGATTCGAATCACGGGGGCTATTTCTTGGAGCCCAGATGACAGAGACAATATTTTTTGAATAAATTTCCACAATAAAAGTGATCAAAAGAATTAACATAACTCAAAAGGCATCACATGGTCCATGCTTTGGAGAAACATTACTAAGCACAGGCATGTTTGTGTTTGATACAGAGCAGTACTTCACTTTGCTACGCTGTGAAATGACAGCCCCGACTGAACGGGCCGGCAGCGTACGTGGAATGTACAAACACTTCGGCCTGCAGATGCTTCAAATCCTCTTGGGCCGGTGTTCACACTGCAGCCTTCTGGGGCTGCGGGTGTGTCTTTGTCACTTCAGCAGGTGTCTCAGCTGGTCCTGCAGGTGTTTTGAGTGCTCCACACTGGGGGCAAGAGACGAGACCAGGAGAGGGAGTGCACGTCATTAGTTTGTGTTATGGCTCACAACTGAGACAGTGATGTCAGCTGCTTCCACTAACACAATAAACAGGGTTGTGTTTAGACTTACTTCTTCTGGATGGCCTCCTGCCTTGGTGACAGACAGACAGACAGATAATTAATACTCACTTCCACAGTTTAAACAATCGTGAATGAGTTTCACATATGTGCACTCATAAGAAGCTGACTGATACTTACTGGTACTGTAAATGTGTGGTGATGATGGACATTTTCCTCAGACTCTGGAAGACAGATGACAACAGTGTTTATTCTTGTGGATCACATAGGAGCAGATAACTCAGCCTCATCTGACCTCACTGAGCTGTCACAAGCATTCAGTGATCAGAACATTATGAAGAGCGTCTTTGTGAAACTGTTAAGCTTTTGTCGTTGTTGAGAATATCTTACAGAGGTGTTGTTTTTGTCTCATGTATTTCAGTATTGTGTCATGCTGTACTTCATGTGATCAGATGGGATTGGCTGACTGTTCTAACACTTACATCCTCAGAGTGCAGAATGGCGTCCTCCTGGATCACCATGTTTCTTGCTGCTTGACCAAGAAGCTGGAAGAGACAAGAGCAACAAGATACCTGATTACTGTTTTTATTATCAATGTAGGCTAAATGAACTGGTCGATGGATCACCAGAACAACAGCAGTTTTCTGTCGACAGATTAATCAAGTAATCTTCTAACAGTGGAAGCTAACAGTTACAATCTGACTACTCATGAAGCAGTGAGTGAGGCAGAGGTCACCATCAGGCTACAGTTATTAAATACACAGTTTAAACCCGCCAGCCGCGTTAGCAGCAGCAGGTTCACAGAGAAAAAGGCTCAAAACAAACTGACATCCGTTCAGATGGTGTCAGTAACGATGCTTTCGGTTAGAAGCCAGGCGTGCTGTGGCTGGCCGCCGTGTTCTGGTGAACCGGTAACACCGAGCGTGCCTCCGGTAAAGAGTCGGGTTCGTCTACCTCCTGACTGCGGGATCCCTTCAGCACCTGGCGAGTCAACGCGATCACATCCCCGCTGCAGGAGCCCACTTTGTCGGACAGCAGCCCTTTGACAGACTGACCGAACCGCGGCTGAGCGTCTGCGGAGGCCATTTTGTTTTCCAGGAGACCACGGTAGGCGGGCAGGGCCAAAATACATCTCAGCGCGTCGCGTCACCTCACTTCACTGTGCAGTCTTGTGAAAGTACAAAGTAATTTACTGATTTTCAGTTGTATGCCATTATTACGTGCATTTCAACTATGACCAGACCAGTTAAAGCTGTTACAGCTTAAGATCAGCTGTAGTCCATTAATCACCAACATCATGGTGGTGGTGGGTTATTATCTGTTCCATGGTTTGCTTTTAGGCTTTCATAACATATTCAGAATAAACAAAGTTTTAAACTGTATATATAGGCTACTGGAAAATATCCATAGTATTTTGTAGAAACAGTTTGTACATTTGTTCTGAGGAAATATGACTGTAGGGTAAGAACTTTCCACCAGTGCTGTACTCAGAGCTTTAACTTTGGTGAATGAGTTCAGAACCACAGTGAGTCAGATGTTCCACTGCAAACAAAAGTCCTGATGTCATTCATTATCTTTATGTTGTAAGTATTGTTGATAAAATGCAATGCATATTCAAGAATACAATACTAATGCAAAGTTACCCCTCTCGTTGTGTTGTATTACTGTGTGTCATATTTTGGTGTTGTGTTGTGGTGGGTTGTTCTGGGCTGAGCTCATTTGAACATCTTTGTATAGCTGGCTGGTTGAATCTTTACCTGCCATCTTTTACAAACTGATCACATATTTTATATGCACAGAAAATTGAAATTGAATTGAATAAGGAAGTCAAGTACAAGTACAACAATATCCAATTGAACTTTTTGCCATGGATTTCTGCAAGACTTCAGTGAGTCAAGTGCTATCTAATCTTATTCAAGCTGACACAGCTAACATTATTCGAGTAAGTCAAGGATTTGACATTGAAGTTTCTGTATAAAAGCAAGGTCCTGCAGCTGCTCAGGGCCTTCCTGCACAGCTTCTCTCTGGAATGCTTGGCTTCCACTGAGCCAGACCCCTCTGTCAGGGCCCTCTGATAGGAATATGGCTTTGTTTCTGTGTCTGTGTGTGTTTGTGGTTGTGGGGCTGACTTTGTTAGCATGGCAGCTGAAGCTCAGGATGTCCACACATGGCCACCGGGAGCCTCCCTGCCTCCCAGCGTTACCCCTGATCGGCAGTCTGCTGAGTCTGAAAAGCCCGCACCCTCCTCATGTGCTTTTCAAAGAACTACAGATGAAATACGGACAGACATACTCTCTGATGATGGGCTCCCACAATGTCATTATCGTCAACCAGCATGTGCATGCCAAAGAAGTCCTGCTGAAGAAGGGAAAGGTGTTTGCAGGAAGACCCAGAACTGTGAGTATAATCCTTAAATATCTTGTGCTTTTTAGCAACAACAGTCATTTCTGTTTCTTTGTTTTCCATCCCTGTGGTGTGTGTGATGAAGGTAACCACAGATGTTCTAACCAGAGCTGGCAAAGACATTGCATTTGGGGACTACAGTGCTACCTGGCGGTTCCACAGGAAAATAGTCCATGGAGCTCTGTGCATGTTTGGAGAAGGTTCAACCTCCATCGAGAAGATCAGTGAGTATAGTTCTCTCTACACTCACTATGAGTCCTCATTCAAGATAAGGGATTACCCAAAGGTATTCAACATTATGTCACAGAAATCTAAGAAATTACATCTGAGAAGATTTTTCTTTGTTATTTCATTGACGGATGCTTGGCACAGTGACATGAGAAGAAAAGCAATGTAGGATAATGAAAACAGTTTTCTTATGTCCTCTTGTTTTATACATCTGCACTCACATGTCATTGTTATAACTTAACTTGAATTAAGAAGAGTGTTTGGCTTGACTTGCAGCTTAAAACAGAAACCATGCATTATATATTTTTATGAATCCTGTGGAAGATGAAAACCTTTCAAAACACCCTATAGCAATGTTTTTTGTCTAGCTCAGTAGCTGCTCAGTGGCAAGACTGTCAGACGGTAGGAAATAGCATCTATCTTGAACTGTTCTGAACTTGAACTATTGCGTTAGTTTGCATTTGGGGCTATACTGAGTATATGTTATTGCAAGATGGTGTATGTGGCACGGAATCTAAACTAGTGTGTGAGTTTATGCCACTCAGTGCAGCACTGAAGCTTACTAAAATAAGATATATTGTACTACAAACACACATAATATACTGTTAAAATAAGTGAAGTAAGTATTATAAACATGTCAGTAAGTGAAGATGCTCCGGTGCCTGTGTCCTGCTCAGTCTGTGCAGAGGCCCAGTCTCTATGCTCCATCCTGTCTGAGGCAGCAGCTGTGGGACTGGCCCTGGATCTGTCTCCTGAGCTAACTCGGGCCGTCACCAATGTCATCTGTTCCCTCTGCTTCAACTCCTCCTACTGTCGAGGAGACCCAGAGTTTGAAGCCATGCTGCGCTACAGCCAAGGCATTGTGGACACCGTGGCTAAAGACAGCCTCGTGGACATCTTCCCCTGGCTACAGGTAGACAGTACAAAACCACAAAAGAAACAAATGGAGCACTGTTTGAATGTGGGAAATGAAGCAGCAACAGGGAGAAACAGAACATACAGGAAGTATACAGGAAAACAATTTAGGCGCATTAGGACTATTTTTAAACATCAGTGTGTCTATTTAGTGTGATTACTCACCACTGCCTCGCTGCTGTAAGACCACACTGTTATGTAGTGTCATTTAACAACCGCTGAAAGAACAGTGGAAGTACTTACATGACATAAAATCTTACATCTCGTTTCCTTACACCTTTACTGTTCATTGATTCAAATTATTTAGTTGTTATTTTTTGATGCTTCTGATGATCCCAATATCCTGAATGCGAAAGTTCAAGGTAATATTTAAAGCTAGCATGACCAGCAACTCAATTCTAGATCCAAATTTGAGGGATGGGGAAGAAAGGGAGAATTACAACAAGCTTCTTTCATTGATGCTTATATTAGAATGTTTAATTATATAATATATCATTCTGTATAACAACTCAGTAACATCTGTCTCTGTGTCACAGATTTTTCCCAATGCAGACCTGCGTCTTCTAAAACGGTGTGTTTCGATCAGAGACAAACTTCTACAGAAAAAATTTGATGAACACAAGGTACAGTCTATACTAATAATCTCTGTACCGTCACTAATGTAAGAAAGATGTTTAAGACCTAAGTGTAGTGTACAGATCAGAACAAACAGGGAAACTGCAGGCAGTGAACACTTTCGATGAATGTAAATTATTAGTCGTGACAAACTTCCTAAATTAGTCCAAAATTTTTGTCTGTGCACATGTTAGTTGAACATGCAGAATGGCAATTTAGAGTGCAGGCAAAGATTCATTTCTACTCATAAAGTTAAAATTGTTTTGGTTGAAATGGAATTTAAAGATTTTTTTTCCACAGATAAACAGCCTCTAGTAACATTTACCTGCTCATTTACTTGGTTCTTTACTCAAAATCAGAAATAAATACTAACCCTTTTGTATCAGAACATTGATTTCTGTGTCTTTACGGTTGGTACCTAACTGCATAGTTGCTTTCAAAGAAGTTTTGAAACCTGAAAAATAAAGTGTTAACATTACCTATTTGCTGCATTACACAAAGGTTTGCATAAATCCAAAACAGTCTGAAACAATTTAAAATATATAACAGTCAGTCAGACAAAAGGACAGCAATTGTGCAATTCTACTCAGGTATCAAACAGCTTCACGTCGCTCAGTTTTATTATTTTAGTAGGAAAACACTGGCTGGGAAATGTGATAACAAAAACCAGGACAATATTTACTATAATAATGAGGAACCCATTCAACAGACCTCTCCAAGCATAATAATTTCCCTGCTTCCCAGGGCTATGCCTGAGATGATCATTATTAACACAGACGAACTACACTACAGCAATAATTTTGTTTGCCTAATCCAAACGCCATAAAATACAGTATACATGTGTGGACAAAATTGTTGGTACCCCTCGGTTAATGAAAGAAAAACCCACAACAGTCACAGAAATAACTTGAATCTGACAAAAGTAATAATAAATAAAAATTCTATGAAAATGAACCAATGAAAATCAGACATTGTTTTTGAACCATGGTTTAACAGAATTATTTTAAAAAATAAACTCATGAAACAGGCCTGGACAAAAATGATGGTACCCTTAACTTAATATTTTGTTCCACAACCTTTTGAGGCAATCACTGCAATCAAACGATATCTGTAACTGTCAATGAGACTTGTGCACCTCTCAGCAGGTATTTTGGCCCACTCCTCATGAGCAGACTGCTCCAGTTGTCTCAGGTTTGAAGGGTGCCTTCTCCAGATAGCATGTTTCAGCTCTTTCCATGGATGTTCAATAGGATTTCGATCAGGGCTCATAGAAGTGCCACTTCAGAATAGTCCAATGTTTTCCTCTTATCCATTCTTGGGTGTTTTTAGTTGTGTGTTTTGGGTCATTATCCTGTTGCAAGACCCATGACCTGCGACTCAGACCAAGCTTTCTGACACTGGGCAGCACATTTCTCTCTAGAATACCTTGATAGTCTTGACATTTCATTGGACCCTGCACAGATTCAAGACACCCTGTGCCAGATGCAGCAAAGCA